GGATGTGTTTAGGGTTTAGGGGTTTTGGGGTTTAGGGGTTAGGGGTTTAAGGTTTAGGGTTTAGGGTTTAGGGGTTTAGGGTTTAGGGTTTAGGGGTTTAGGGTCTAGGGTTTAGGGTTTAGGGTTTCTGGTGGCTTTCGGGGGGGTTCGGCCTGGGCTTCTTTATGTGAAGCACCTTTGTCCGTCTGCATAGGAGATCCCTCGCTGCCCCATAGCTCTGGAAGTTTCGGGCATCGGTTTCGGCCCGAAGGGTTTCCGGGTGTGCCGGAAGGGTTCTGCGTTCGCAGCCCTGAGAACTTCAAGCTTGGCGACGAGGGAAACAGACCCAAATTGCCCACTCCATGAGAGGAACTACTTGACCCCTAAGCTTGAACAAGCCGAGCAGTCGACAGAGTTGCTTTGCAAACTGGCTCGTAGGGATTACAAGCCTCTTTGGGATACCCAATCGTATCCAACAGACCCGACGATAGATCTGTTTAGAGAAACCCTGTGTCAATCTATAGACCCCCGTAAGGCAGTTCCTGAAGGGTATCGCTCCATCCCAACTCCCAGCCCCTAAACTCAAAAAGCCCTGAACCTGGGACGGCCGAGCGACTTCTCTTCCAGGTCAAGAGCTCTCAAAACATTCCTCAGACATCGGGGGCCGCCAAGGCTTTCGGGTGTTCAAGGCTTCAGGCTTTCGTGGCTGAGAGCTCTAAGTCTTAGACTCTAAGTCTTCAGGCTGTCGGGTTTGGGGTTCGGAGCTCAAGGCTTGCCAGGTTCAAGCTGTGAAAGGCTGAGGACTTCCTGGGGGGAGCGGATGGCGCTGATTATGATATTGAGGTTTCGGGCTTTGGGCCAGGATCACGGATCACTCCAGATGGCTTGAGAGAGAGAGTTTGGGGACTGTGGGCTTGTCGACTTCTACGACGTGTTCCTTGCAAAGGACGGCGATGAGACTTGGGATGCTTCAGATTCTGAATGAAGTGCGACGTCCTACTAGAGGGGGACACAAGACGTAGTGCTCACAGTGCCGCGCTCGCTTCCACAAGGTCACACCGACGATCATATCCTGTGACTCTTGCTGAACAGCGAAGCGAAACTCGAGGCACCCGTGAAGCTCGGCTTTCCCTGACGACCCGGGTCTGAACTGTCTGTGGGCTTCCAGCTCCGCGTGTCAACTGAGGGTAAAGTGCACGAAAGCGTTGGCACAATGCTGAAGCCCTGCGTCCTTCAAGCCTGACCCGGCAAACTCCTGAGCCTCAACCCCGCAAAATCAACCTTCAGCACGCAAGCCAAAGCAGAGTGTGAATGCCGCCGAGCAGCCAGTGAACCTGCCAAGTTTTATGAAACTGAGAGATTCAAGTCTGTCAGGTCCAGCTTTTGGAGGCAAACAATTTAGAGTTTGCAGGTCTCCATGTGGGATGGTTTTGGGCTATCCTTTCCAAGACCTCTACAATGACAATGGACCCCTAAACCCCCAATCCAGGACTAACCCCTACTTAATTGATCATGGGACTTAGCAAGTAGGGTTATAATTAGGGTAACTATACTTATAACCCCCAATTAAGGGACTTATAACCTTACTTACTAAGTCCCATGACCCCCCCCCCCCCCTGATTCCGTCTTTGCCTCCTCCTCGGTAAGGATGCGCCCTCCACATTTCTGGGTCATGCGCGGCCCAAGAAGCTCAGCTGCAAAGAGCCTAGAACTCACTCTTTGGGCCGGGGGGGGGGTTTTAGGGGCTTTCCGGGCTTTAGGGTTTGGGGTTTAGGGCTTTAGGGTTTCAGAAGCTTTAGGGCTTTCGGGTTTCAGGGGCTTTACGGTTTTTGGGTTTGGGGCTTTAGGAACGTTAGGGTTTAGGGTTTTAGGGTTTGAGGGGTTTCGGGTTTAGGGTTTCAGGGGCTTCAGGGCTTTCGGGTTGTAGGGTTTAGGGTGGTTTCAGGGGCCTTAAGGTCTTTAGGAGTTAGGGTTTAGCCTGTTGAAGCTTTCAGGCACTTTAAAGCTTTAGAGTTTTAGGGTTCAGGGCCTTCAGGGGGTTTAGGAGTCGTTTAGGCGTTGTAGGGCTGTCAGCCCTGGGAATCTTCTTCAGGAAGATCAAAACCCGGTCCAAGGCAGTCCAGAGTCCATACCCCTTAGGCCGAAAGCATTAAAACTGAAGCCCCAAAAGCCCTCATGATAGGAACCTACCCTTCGAGAGCTGCTTTAGAACCCTCAAAGGAACCCTCTTGTGACACCTCTAACTAGTTCCGGGTCGACGGTTGTCTCCATCAAAGTACCCATGTGCCAGGTGCACACAAGCATAGAGGTGTTCTACGGCTTGAGGAGAGGTTTGAAACTGTCTTTTATGGTTTGATGGGGTGTTGTACTGGTTATCGTGAGTTGCCTTGCGGCTTTGCAGGTTGTCATGGCTTGCAAGGTGGCTTTGCAGAGTGCTTACAAGGATGCAGCGAAGCCCGAACGTCCACACCCCGGATCCCTCAAATGATCACACTGGGGCCGGCTCCCTCCTTCGATAAAGTCTACGATGCCAGCCCCTTGGAAGACTGCATCCTCAGGCTTCGGAGGGCCAAAACCCGGTCATACAGGTACTTCCCAGCACGCTGCTATCTAGAAAAGATCCGAAGAAGTTGTGGTTTTGAGGCCCCAAACCTGAGCTTGCCTTCCAAACCCAGACAGTGGCCTCCGGTCTGGACAGCAAACAGGCGCCAAAGAGCGGCTGCAGGTCACAAGATCTTATCTAAAATTGTCGGGGGAGTAACATGAACTTCTGGTCGAATTGTGAGCCTGCTCTCGGGTGCTGAGATCTCAGAAACCGAAGTTCTCGGCGTTAGACGTCGCTGGAGCCAACAGCGAGAAGGCTGGCTTTCTGCGAAAGGCTCTCAAACAGCAGCATGGTACTAGTACGTGTCGAAGACTCGTAGTCTCGTCTGTTGGAGTGAACGGTATGTCAAGACATGCGACATAACGAAAGCAGTACCTGCTGTCAGGTAACATATGACGTCGGAGGCAGCACGCTGAGACTCGTCTGCGGAGTGTTGCTCTTCGTGTACTCCCGTGATGCCGAGGGCAGATTTTGGTGGTCATCACCGCTTCACCTCCTTTCGATCTGCGATGACCCACTCCGACTCTTCCTGCTCCTCCTCTTACGACGACGGCAAGAACCACCATCGCCATCACCACCACCGCCACCACCTAGACCAAGAACAGCTACAACGACGACGACAACGCTGCTGCAGAACAACCCATGGCACAAAGAGACGACACAACAAGCTCCCGAATCGGACTTAAAGCTGTTTTCGGGCTCCAGCACTTTGGGCTCTCGCTTGCAGGGAGCCTCTTCTCTCGCGCGAAGACCTTAGCTACCTCTGGACAAAAGATCACGCTGCCCTCTTCGCCAGGCCAGATGCTTTACAATCCAAGGGTACCGATAGCGACTCATGGCGACCTTCTCCGCAGCTGTCGAAGCTCCAGCTTCTGACAGTCCCCGACTTTTCCGCACGCCATGCCCAGATCGCTGTGGCCGCTTGCAAGCCTTCACGCGCGCGAGCAGTGCCTCGTTGTCTCCAGCTTTCCAATCTCCGAGCTGCCTCACAGGCCCGTTCGGAGTCTCGGCTGCGCTCTTCATTGAGACTCTGCAAGCCTTTTGGCGAAAGATATGCCCTGCAGTACCTTCGCGTTGCTCTCCTGCTCCGCAGCAATGTGAATCCGACGCTCTCTCAGAGATTCGAGAATGAGATTTATATTGCTTCTCGACGCATTCTCCGGGCGCCCATACCCGGGGCATCGCTGAGCTACGACCTCCAGGCTCTCCATTAGCAGCCCCATCTGTTTCACAAAATGTGCTGGCGTTCTGTGGTTGAGAAGATTACGCAGCACCATGACCACTTCTGGATGCTTTGGGCCGTAGTCCCGCGCTGCAATCTCGACGCTGCGCTCCAGCAGTTCCTTCCTCCAGCGTTGATCTCCGAGCTCGTCGATAGCTACGGAGAGATCGGAGAGAGCCAGGGAAATGCGGGGGTTGTCTGGATCGCAACTTCCTTCCAGGACATCGAGCAAGCGGATGCCAAGCTCGCTGGCCCTTTGCGCCTGACCGGCTCGCATGCATGTTTCCATCAGCTCGCCGACCGCCAAGATTCCCACGGCCGTGTTCTGCTGATTCCGGGTCAAAGCGTAGCCCAGCTCCCGCGAGGGCAGCTCGCACCGCGCCTGGTACTCCGCCTCCGCAGGCTCCGCCGCGCTCTTCGACCTCCGAGCTTCGGCCGTGACCTCCCGGATGCGCGCGAGCTCCGAGTCGGGGGCGGGGCCGAAAGCCCGGCGGCAGAGGCTCGGGCTCTCCACGAGCTCCTGCCAGCGGAGGATCTGCGGGCCTTCCACGCCGAAGAGGAAGACGTGCACCAACTCAACCTTCCGCAGGAACGCGAAGGCCCAGCCGCAGGCCTTCGACCTCGGCGACTCGGCGAGACTGCGGGGCTTGCGGCCTTTCAAAGCCCCTGCTGGGGGTTGGGTCCACGCCTCAGTGGAAGTTGCATGAAGTTGCAGGTCGGAGATCAGAGACAGTGGCAGAGGCGCGCCGCAGTGATCACCCGCAATCATGCGGGAGGGCGGAAAGAATCGTTGTGAACTGAAGCTGATGTGTGAAGAGATGTTGTGGGCTCTGCTACATTCATGGAATATCTCCACCCCGACTGGCAGTGCGTCTACAGAGTAGAGATGATCCTGCTGTTGCTTTCGGTGCTCTAAGCTCCCGGCAGGAAGTAGTCGCTCGTCAGCTGCAGGAGGAGGATGCCCTGCCGTGTCTGCGTTGCAGCCTCCTGGGTTCTTGTTCAGGACTATAACAAGGAGAGCATATTATATTTACTATGGATCCTATATACTATATTCTGGTACTTAACCCCGTCCTTGTAGCGCAGGACCCAGGCTTGGGATGGGAACTCGCGCGGCGACTGCGCCGGCACTCCGCAGAACGCGGCATCCCAGCGCCCCTGGCAGAGCCCAGTCACCAGGCACTCTTCCATTCCCAGCGATCCGTCGTGGCAGAAGCTGACACCGCCTTACAGTGAGTAAACCTGTGACTACCTTGCATCGACAAGACATGCATGGGTTCAGACTCTGCAAAGCCTGCGAAAAAAAAAGTGGATAGTTGAAGGCCACCGAGGTGCGGAATTCTTTCTTAAAATGCACGCCCTGCCCGAGCTGGTTCAGGATGAGGTTGTTGGTGGGACTGCTAGGGGTGACAAAAGAAACGAGGAAGTCTGCCTCCGAAGCCACCTTCTTGCCTTCCGGCTCCCCGCGAGCTTGGTGAGCCTCGAAGTCGATAGGCTTCCACTGGCGCGTCAGCTTCAGCCTCTCGCGCAGCTCGCCATACTCCTCTGTCAGCTTGTCCGCCTGGGCATAGTCCGCCTGCGCTTCGCCGGACTTGCCCAAGATCTCGTTGGCGATGCCACGGCCGTTGTGGGCCGCGGCAGAGTGTTGGTCCAGCTCAATCGCCTCTCCGAAACAGCCGGCCGCCTCCGATGCCATCCCTTCGCAGAGCCACCGCCAGCCCAGGGCTACAGCATCCTCGCAGCGGTCGCCGTCGCCGTCGCCAACCGCCTCCTTCACAGCCGCTCTCACCCGGCTGAGAAACTCTCAACACCCTGTCTCTGACTCTCTTGTGCCTCGTCTCGCACGTCGCCAGGAGATTCAGAAGCCATTCCCGAGCCTGCCTTGTCAATGTTCCGAGGATTTCAGGAAACTCTCCGAGGTGAGCTTCAAAAACCGGCGATCTAAGTACTTCGCTGGCTCTCTTCCAAGATAAGAGAGACAAGAGGAGAGAAGCTAGCGAGAGAGAGCGGATGCATTAAAAAGAAAGCTGCACCCTTCCAAACCCCAAGGGCGAGTTGACATGTCTCCCATTGCCGTGACCCCCCAAGGGCGGATGCCTCCTGCCTCCTGCCGCTGCTTGGCCAAGAGCCGCGGACAGAGAGTCAGGGAGAGTTTCCGGCCCTTTGAGCCCAACGTCTGACATTTGGGGGTAAAATATGACGGGGTCCCATGTAGAGTTTTCATTGGGTTAATAAGCGTTCTGGTTCTTGGACTTCCGAATCATGACAGCCCCCGCGACAGCTGCAAAAGCTCAAGCCCGAAAAGTCCTGCAAAGGCGCCTAACCCGCCCATCGACCTACCAACCGTCGGCTTGTCGAGTCTAGTTTTCGTTGCACCCGGACGATTCTGCTCCCTCACCGAAGCATCTGTACGCACATAGCAGGTGAAGCAGGCAGGCAGCTGCCAACTGCGAGCAAACCTGCCGTAGGGATAATGCAAAAGGCGGCTCAACTTGGAGCCAGTTCTGGAATCAAACGCCAGCATCCTTTCGACGCTCCTCAGCATCCTCACGACGCTGAGGCTTCCTGAGGTCTGCACACTTCGACTATCTTCGACTGATGGGGCGTCCTGGCCTCGGCCTCGGCGGACCTCTGAGAAAGCTCCAAGACCACTCCAAGGCTCAGAGGCGTGACTGAGCAGGCCAGCTCACCTTCGCGCCGTTGGCCTGGAGCATCGTAGCGGCCTGCTCCACCATCCTGAGACCCAGCGTTCTTCCTCTAGGAAGCCTAAGCCCCTAAGCCCTGAACCCTAAACCCTGAAAGACTTTGGGGCCTGTGTTTTGGAGGGACAATCCTCGGAGGAGCCGCAGACAAGACTCTGATCGACGATGGTCTTTGCAGGCAGGACGTCGGTGATCATGCCAGCGACTTGTCCGCAAAGCCACGGATGACCTGGAAGAGCTGAGGGAAAGAACAGCGACGAGAACTAGCAAGCACAAAAGCCTCTGCCACGAGCTTCTCGTATCAATGACAACTGAAGCTGTGGTTGCTACTGGAAGGATTACGTACAGCACTATGAGCAGGAGTAGTAGTAGCAGGATCAGGTAGCAGTAGGAGTATAGGTCGCGATATGAATTCTGATGATGATTTCTACTGTGATGACGAGTAGGATAAGGCGGACTGGTCTTGCGCTTGTCAGTGATGAGTCCAGCTTAGTATCTCTACAACTAATGATGTGCTTCTTCTTGTTTCGCCGGCCTGATTCAAGACCGACAGGAACAGGAACATCCTGATGCTTTCCTGCCGGTATGTCCGTGGCCGGGGATCCGAGTTTCAATCGAACTGCCTTGGAATTAGACGTCGTTAAACAGCGCCCGCAACAGTTCAAGAAGCCTCCACACAGAGCAGAACTTAAGTTGTTCTGAATGTGAATCGCATGAAGGGTCCTTCCCGCAGTCTATCCCGAAGCCGATAGTAGCATCACCCATATGATGCTAGTCGTAATAGTTCCACACAAAGCCCCTATGATGCTCTCTTACAATTGAAAAGGCCCAAAAAACCCTCTAGCATCAGCAGAGCTGGAGCCCTCTCCTTGGAGCTTCTCCTCCATGAGCTTCTCGTCTTTCTTGTATGGAATCAGCCCTCGCGGCGAAGCAGAGATTTTAGGGTTTGGGGTTCGGGTTTAGGACGGTTTAGGGGCTTCGGGGAGGAGGGCTTGGGGAAGCAAACAGAAAATCCAGAAACCCAGCCTGACTGCAAGCATTCCCGCATTTCTTTGGAGCGATCCTCCTCCCAGCCTGACACGAGAGCTGAAGAGTCGGTGCTCAAGGCAGCAACAGGCAGTCTCAGTCTCTCAGCAGGATCATCTTGCGCCGACATTAGCTTTATTCGCGACGATGTTTGTTGTGCACATTGCGCTGGAGTAGCTTATCGAAGGGAGCATGACCAGGAGCAGCAACAGCGCTGCAGCATAGAGTAGCAGTTGCCAGCGGCCCCGTTGCTGCAGCTCTTAGCTAGGTTTTCTTACTCTTGGCTCATGGTGATTGCTTGTAGATAGCAGCAGATAGAATGCAAAACGAAATAGAATATCTGCAAGCGTTTTTGCAGGTAGTGGTCTTACGTCGAAGAATAGTACACACTAGGTGAGGGTGGGAGTAGCTTAGTAGCCGAAGCAGTGCTTGAAGCTTGAAGTACTCGGAGAAGGCGTAATTAGGCTGGTGAACACAACAATAACCCGTAACCATAATCATAGCAGTTGTGCCTACGTTCGCACAAGGGCCACCACAACAGGAACAGCACCTGCTGATGGTGATTATTATGGATTATGATTATAGTGATGATGATGATGACCAACGACTCCAGAGTAAGGTCATCATTATCCTTCATCATGCTCACCATCATCATCATCGTCATCACCATCATCAACACACCATCATCATCAACTGGGTCATAGTGGTCTGCATCGTTACCGTCGGTGCCATCATGCATGCGTCCGACATCACTATCAGCCACATCAAGCCCATTATGATCGTCGTCATCATCATCATCATCATCATCAACATCATATCTGTGATCATCTTCGCCACCATTATCGCATTCACCAAGAGCATCAACACCAGCAGCAGCCGCATCATCACTACCATCATCATCATCAGCAGCCGCAGAAGTAATAACACATGTGTCATCAACATCTTTTTCGCCATCATCATAATCGATTAGGAGAAGATAGTGAGGATTATCGTCATCCTTGAGCTGATCAACGCCAATATCAGGATTGACCAATTCGCGGTCGCCAGCTCTCTGGCGAGGTGCTGACGGAATACTTGTTCTTGATGATTCTCATCGGACGGCCAGTGTAGATCTCTGTCCGGTGGGTGTCGTGCACGCTCGCCTTGCAAAGATCCTTAGCTTTGTCAGTCGTCGAACGTAGACCGTAGACCATCAATGCACCAGCAACAAGATCATGACCTATCCATTGGCACAACTCTCGACAAGTGGCCTCCTTGTGCTTCGGGGGTGCGCCTCCCTCAACCGAGGCAACAAAACGCGTTCCCACCCAAACACCATCCGCGCCCAGCGCGAGAGACATGGCAAGGTGGCGGCCGTCCTCTTCAGTTCGGAGGGTTGGCATCGTGAAAACCACCATGAAAAGACATATAGCAATATGCAACAATACCTCATGATAGAACTTTAAGTGTTGCGGCTTCGGGATGAGATCTCTTATGGTTCCCGTGATGGCAAGGCTCTGCGATGCCACCAGCGGCCACAACAGGAACTTGCTTCCCGGTCAGAGGAGACTTGTGACCCTTGCACATATCCACCACCATTGGGATCAGGATGCCTCAACTGTCGGCCTACAAAGTTTTGGTATCGGAAAAAAGGGTGCAACAGTGCAGAGCCGCATGTCGCATAGCTTGCTGGAGAAACTTCTGGGTCCAGCCTGTAGCAACGTCTCCGGTGTGGCCTCCACCTTCACCGCCCTGAGCGCAGATGATGTCAACGCCGGACTCCAACGCTTTGCTGACGTGCTTGGGAGCTCCGATCCTCGACTCAGCAAAGCGTGGACTTGCGAAGTTCAAAACACTGACACAACCGTCGGACAAGGGGCATGTTCATGACAGGAATGCCGGCAGCGTGAAGCTTGTCCACCGCGAACTTGGGAGGCACGCCGACAGCGCAGACGAAGAGCTTCGCGCCCATCCTTCCAAGTGGCTGTGAAAGAACACCGTCCACGAAGGCTGAGGGCGGCTTGCCCTATACACTGCACTTTGCACCCTAAACCCCCTAGCAAGCCTCCAATCCTAAACACCCCTTACTCGAGTACCCAAGGCTCTCAATGGTAATGTCGATGAGCTCCGGCAGGTCTCCTCCGGTGTAATCGTAGTTCGTTGCACGGGCCTCACCCCCCACCTGCGGAATCAAAAGGTCCACCTCGGCTCAGTCTGGGCACAATCTTAGGCTCCGATGTATGGTGGAGCATCCACAATCGAAGTTGTTCAATCAAGAGGGGCATGCCGAAGCGCGAGATGGTCATATGACGAAGACGATGAGGCTGACGCTGTGGCTGCCCTGTTGGGTAGGAACCTGTTCTTTCAGATTCAATCCAAGCTGCACCGAAAGGCGCATTCTTGTCATTCAGCTTCTCCTTCAGCTCCTGACCGCGTTGAAGGACCCCGACCCTTCGAACTCAAACTCCCGCAAGCCTGAAACCTTGAAACCCTACACACCCAAGCGGCATACCCAAACACCGTAAGCTGCAAACTGCAGCGGTGATTGAACTTCAGCTCCTCAAGCTTCGCCCGAAACATCTTCGGCTTGTAGTTGACCTGGGCAAGCAAAGAAGGAGTCTAGCAGTTTGTTTCTGTGATGCATCTCGAGATGCTGAGCTTCAGGAAGCTTTGGGCGGGTTGAAGGCCGTCGTCGGGATGAAGGTTGCGGTGTCTTTGACAGCATTCAGCACCACACATCCTGAAGCTCCCCACACCGAAAACTAGATCCCCTCATCCCTCGATCATCATGGTACATATAGTGTACCCAAACTCGATTCTAAGACTTAAGCTCAACATAAACCTGAAGACAAAGGCTGACAAGGCTCACCGCCCCAGACGCCCAAGCCACCTGCGTTTGTAACCTGAGCGCGGGAAAACGGAGGAGGATCTCTTGGGAGCCCTTTCGGATTCGCGTTACGAGGGAGGGCCAGTCGTCATGAAGAAGTAGCAAGAACAGTCAAACATCATCCGCAGCAGCAGGCAGCAAAATTCATCCAGAGCGGCACGACATCATGCAGAGCCGACTACCGTTAACCAATTCCAAACTCCTAAAGCGCTACAGGCTGAAAGCTTCAGTGTTCTGAAACCGTAAACCCTAATTAATCTGCTTTGCCGTGGCACAGCGGCTGCCAGCTCGGGGCTCGCGGCGATGTTCATACCTCACAGGCTCCCAAGAATCCCGAAACAAAGGGAGAGTCCTTCATGCCACCAATTTTCGCAACATGGGAAGTAAGCCTCCGACCGGCGAGCATGATCGGGTGCTGAATGCCAAACATCTCCGTTATCGGAGTGCTGATCTTTGGCAAGGCCATGGTCACCAAGGCCCTCTGTGGACGTGGTCACCAAGAAACCGCGGGGAAGATAATCTTGGAGGCTGGGAGCCGGCACGGCAGCGCCCGCAGGAGTCGAAACAAGGACGTGACGACTCGGTTTGTTCGTTGCTTGTTTTGAATAGTCCCCAACTCGCTCTCAAAAAACTACTTCAGATGTAATGTAACATAACTTTACGTCATCAACGAACATGATACGGCCAACACACGGCTCTGAACACCACCAGCCAGACACAAGCTGCAGAGCTGTATTGCATTCCGACTGTACGAATTTTGTGACTATTTACTGTTATACTATTCTACCACGACCCAAGCCGTTTGCATCTCGAAAACCCAACCTTGCATGTTGAGCCAAGATTTTACTGTTGTAATATTTTACTATTTCAAGACTATACTATTCTACTATTTACTATTTTACTATTTACCCACCTGTGCATGTTGAATCCCCATTTTGCATGTTCAGCCAGGGGATCCACAAAGACAGACGTCTTTGATGGCTCCTTCAATCCACGTGCTACTGCAAATGGGCGTCGTGCAGGAGCCTGTAAGGAAGCTTTACAGCCCGCACAACACGAACGCCACAGAAGAACGAGTGCCGTCACGTCACGTGAACTCAACCATGCTTTTTGCGAACTGGGACTCCTTGGCGGCTCTGTTAGGGATCTCCCAGTAAACGAAAGCCTACCTCGTGAGAAAGAGTGCTGCTGCTGGGGACTACGTGGGCTTGCGGTGGCCCCGATTGCGAACACACTTTTTTTTTTCCCTAATGTCAGTTTGTCCATCAACCTCGGCAATTTCAGGCTGTTGCTACCTAGTGAGACCGCGCCAGAAGACACTGCCATCCAACCTTATTTTGAGCTACAGAGTTCACTCGTCGAAAAATCAATGCATTGTCCATCCTGAGCTTGACCGCTTTGAAAAAAAGGAGTTGTCCAATATTGATTTCCAATGTCTACTCTATCCATATCTTGATGTCGTCACCGTATCTGCGCTTCGGTCATGGCCACCTCTGCCGAGTGGACTTGGAGTCTGTATCTAGGATTTCCTTGATACCGGTGCAGTAGCTACTGCACGGTGGCTCCCAAGCAGTTTGCGCATCGAAATTGTTAAAATCGTTCTTCCTGTTCACAAATCCATCAAATTATCCACACTGTTATCTTTATATTTCCACCAGATTATTCTAATCCAATTTTTCGAGCACGATACTGAAGGATGCAACAGGAAGAACAAACACCGTCATCTGTCTATTCTAAATCTCATGGACAGCAAGCACGACAGCAAACAAAGCCTAAGCATCAGCATTGGGAACAGAGGGGCATAAAAAAAGAAAACGAACTGCTCGTCGCAGAAACGACCTCCAAAAGTCAACTTGCTTGGAGGCAGAACGGAGCCCGTTTGTCAACCAGAAGACAAGCACCACCACGAGTTCTGGTTTTGTCTCATCTGTCAATGCACTGTCATCGGTCCAAACGGTGTCTAAGCCGAGTCGGTAAATTCCCGATCAAAAGCCTTCCACTCCATTTCAAGAAACTTGCTTTTTTGGAAGGCATAGCAAGCGGTTTCTTCCAGCTGGGAAGATGTTCGAGAGCCTGCCAGGCCCCGCCGGCCCACCGACGTTGCTGAAGAAAGAAGACCTGGGCCTAGGCGTCGAGTTTCACTAACTCTCTCCACCAAGAACAGAACTTCCAGACGCACTTCTGCAGCAGAGACCAAAGATGCTCTGCCACTCGAAGTCTCGATGGCAAGTCTTAAGTCTTAGCAAGAGCTGCGCTTCCAGACGTTGCATTCTTTGCGCCAGGTGGTACAAGATCGTTTCAGCCTTGCTACAAGTCAAAGACTGCCGCACTTACGCAGCTTCAGCATGCTTGGATTCTTTTACTTTTGAGTTGAAGTGAGACAATAATAGTAAAGGCTATCTCAGGCCCTTCTCAGACTTGGAGTGTTTGAATCGTTCGTGCAAGCAATCATGGCTACGCAACATTTTGGCAGAGGTGCTCTTTGTAGGCGATTCAGGCTTTGCAGCAGATCTTTGAGACTCACCGTTTCAAGTGTTCTCTGGCCAACGAGGTTCCTCTTAAGTGTCACAGAGGGGCTGTTCTTGCCCAAAACTCGTCCACCCGATGGAGGCAATCGGGAAGTTGACTGGAGCGCTATCTTCCAGTTGGACCAGATTGTCCAACTTGGATGCCTGGAGCTCCACTTTTTGGATCATGAGCCGGTGTTTTCCGAAGTCTTGTGTGGGCTTGTAACTGTGCATTTGGCACCTTTAAACGAGCAGTTGCCTGGCCTCTACCTGAGAGACTGTCCGGTTTTCAGACGGCGCAACGTTTTGGAGAAGAGCTGTGGCAGGAGCGCATGCGCATGAAGTTTCTTGGTTGCAGCTAGAAATGCGGATGCTTTTCTGTGCGGTGTAAACACATTCAATGCAATCTTTGCTTGCAATTCTAGCATGTGAAGAGCAAAAAAGCAAGAGTTCAAAGCGACTCTTGCAATGATACTGTCCGACCGCTCATTTCCGTTAAAAACCTAGGAAGCTCTAG